AATGAATGGCACTGCACAGCACACTGTATGCCCCCAGCTACATCACCAACCTCATCTGCAGATATCACCTATATTGTCCTCTCCACTCCTCTCAAGACATCTGGATCTCTAGTGCCCTTGTTATTGCCTAGCATGCTTGCATCCAGGACATTTCCAGAATATATCCTATCCTCGAACTTCCTACCCCAGTATGTCCAGTCAGCTCCTACCCCGTCTGCCTTTAGGCGATCCTTGGAAACTCATTTATTCAGGGAAGACTTTCCCTGTGTATACAATGGAGCATGGGGGAGCTCTTGTCCATGAGCATGGTATTGACAGCTCCAGATGATCCACATTGGCTCACAATTGATATGATCCAAAAATATTCAGGCAGAATAAAGGTGAATAAAGCACCTGGACCGGATGGCATACACCTACGGGTCCTTAAAGAATTGAGCTCTGTCATTTCAAAGCCATTGTTTCTAATTTTTAGGTATTCATTAATGACTGGCATAGTACCATTGGATTGGCGTAAGGCCAATGTGGTGCCAATATTTAAAAAGGGGTCAAAATCTTTACCAAGTAATTATAGACCTGTTAGTTTAACTTCTATAGTTGGGAAGATACTGGAGAGTTTAATAAAAGACCACACAGATGAGTTCTTGCTGGAAAAAAATATTTTAAGCAACAGACAGCATGGATTCATGAAAGACAGAAGTTGTCAAACAAATTACAAGCCGACCTCAATGCACTGTTTAATTGGGCAACTATGTGGCAAATGAGGTTTAATGTTGATAAATGTAAGGCTCTGCACTTGGGGGCTAAGAATATGCATGCATCATACATACTAGGGGAGTACAACTGGGGGAATCAATGGTGGAGAAGGATCTGGGGGTTCTGGTAGATCATAAGCTTAATAATTCTAAAGTGAGCAAAATCCTCTCTTGTATTAAAAGAGGTATAGACTCCATTGAGAGAGATATCATATTACCCCGGTACAAATTAGTAATAACTCATCTGGAATATGCAGTTCAATTTTGGGCACCAATTCACAAAAAGAACATTGGGGAACTGGAGAAAGTACAGAGAAGGGCAACCAAACTGATACGAGGCATGGAGGAGATCAGCTATGAGGAAAGATTAGAGGAACTGAATTTATTCTCTCTTGAGAAGAGGAGATTAAGGGGGGATCTGATCAACATGTGTATATACATCAGTGGTTCATATAGTGTACTCGGTGTAGAGCTATTCACCCTGAGATCATCACAGACGACAAGGGGAGGAAAATAAATTTAATCTCCAAACACGGAAAGGTTTCTTCACAGTAAGAGCTGTGAAAATGACTCCCTCAAGTGTTGGTTCTGGCCAGCTCAGTGGATTGCTTTAAAAAAGGCCTGGATTGTTTCTTGGATACACAGAATATAACTGGATACTATTTATAAAGTTGATCCAGGGGATATCCGATTGCCTCTCGGGGGATTAGGAAGGAATTTTTTCACCTGCAGGAGCAAATTGGATCATGCTTTGCTGGGTTTTTTTGCCTTCCTCTGAATCAACTTTGGGTATAGGATTATAACTTTTTTTTTAATTTTTTTAATGGTTGAACTGGATGGACTTTTGTCTTTTTTCAACCAGACTATGTAACTATCATACCTCCACCTAAAAACTGTACTTGAGTCACCTCCATCAGATCATCCCCTGCAGCTATCACCTTTTGTACCACCTCCCCCTCCTTTTAGATTGTAACCTCCAAGAACAGGGCCCTCCAATTCCTTTTGTATTGAACTTTATTGTAATTGTAAAGCATATTGTAAAGCACTGCGCAAATTGTTGGCGCTATATAAATTCCATCAAATAATAATAAATAGACCCTTACACTAAATAGTTATGATACTTAGCTGTCAACAGATCTAATATGAAGGCACCTAAAGTGTGACGATCGCATGTCAGACCGCTGACCTTCTCACCAAACTCGTGACCGAAGGACTAGCCAATCTGAAACCGCGATGTCACGTGCGTAACAATGCCATGCCCAGCTGCACCCTGCACAACGATTTTCCAGCTAATGGACCACAAATCGATGTAATGGCAGCCTGAATGCGATTGTTACTGGGTCAGGTTAATTACGCAATTAACCCTTCACACTGCCACCACCTCCTTTTTGTACAAAGAAAGAGGAAACTCAGCAATATCAGCAATAACACTATGATGATTGAGATAATCGTCTGTATAGCACTGTCACCACAGACAGGTTATACAGAGGGTTAAACACACACACAGTAGCACTCTTTTAGAGGCAGAAATTCGTAAGTTGCATTAACGAGCTATAGAAACATTTCAACACGTTCAGAAAGAAAGATTTATTACTAAAAGGTCAAAAGGGTGCAATAAAAATATTTACAGAAAAAAGATGTAACCAATATATATATATATTATATATATATATATATATATATATATATATATATATATATATATAAATACACAGAGAACAATAGCTTAGCAAAGAGGTAACAGAAAGGAGGTTAAAGGGATAAAGTACTTGCCAATCAGCCTTGGGTTAAGCAAATCAAGTTTCAGAGCAAAAAGGGCTCCCAAGTTGGTTCTGATGTTATATGGGAGAATTCTTCAACTCTTAGGCCTGAAAGCCTATTTTGTAGTCCCCCAGCAGGGGGTGTCTCTGAAGCCAAGGACCAATACCTCATTTGGGGAGGGATTGTCTCGGCGGAGACCTAAACTAGAACCAAAATCTCTCATAGCTCATAAAACTTTTCCTAGGCACAAGTACCATTCCACCCACGGGTAGATTAATATGCAGACGCATCTGAGGAATGGTTACATGTGAAATATGAAATACATACTTGAATGGTTCCAGAGATGTAATTTTCTGCTTTCCTAGGTATTCCAGTCAGGGAGTGTGACCTATCAAACAATTTGTCTGATCGTGGCCAATCTGAAGATATGCCTGGCTTTTATGTACGTCTCTTATGTCTCATATTCCAAGATATGAGACATAGGGGAAAAATGGATTTTAAAAGTGTTATCTAGTTTCTTACTCCTCTGGAATGTCTTTGAACTCAGGGTGGCTTGGGTTATCTTTTTACGAGGTGCCAGATTGCTCAGCTTCCCAGCCAGCCCGGCACCCAACTCAGAGATGGTTTATAGCTCGGAGCTGTGCCCTGGCAAGCCTGTGACACTTCCAACACACACACACACGACCAAATGTCACTGTGACTCTGAGAGAGGGAGGGGTAGAATGAGGGGAGATATGTTTGTACAAGATGGATGATCCTTTGCCAAGATGGAGGTTGGAGCCAAAATGGTTGAACTGCGTCCATCTCTGTGGCATGATTGCTACATAAAGGACTAAACATTCCTGTAAAAGTCTTGAATCCTGAAGTGCTATCAGTTGTCTCTTCTTATTGATAAGTCAGTAAGAAGGGATGAGCTGGGGCAGACCAGCTCTCAAAACTAGTAGGTATTGTCTAGGCGTACCCTGTGATTTAAAGCTCCCAAGAAGCTTGAGAAGACTTGTGATATCAGATTTTTTTAAATGGTCAATGTCAGGACTCAGATGTCATAAAATAAATAGTGGATATTGTGGCTTAGACCATTGCTGTAATCATCCCTCACCCTGTGTCTATGGCTACCTTTTGGGCATGTTGAAGCCAACTGAATGATCAGATATCCAGTTACTTTTTGAACCATCATGGAAATCTACTAAAAAAAACATTTACACCTTTTTAAGTCCTGTATCATCATCACGAGTCTGAAATCTTTCTTTCCTCAGTGGCAGCGATTAACTGGGCACATAGGTACGCCAAGCCAGAATACAACTCCCACTATCCCCTGGGCTGCCTGCATGGGCTGGTGTTGGGGAGTGGCAACAGAGATTCAGGAAAATATACAAGCTTTTCAATGGCTGGCAGGCAGAGATTGACCAAGGTTAATGACACTGGGGGAGATTTACTAAAGCTGGTTCACTCAAAATCTGGTGCAGCTGTGAATGGTAGCCAATCAGCTTCTAACCTCAGTTTGTTCCATTAAGCTTTAGCAATAACACCTGTAAGGTGATTGGTTTCCATGCAGAACTGCACAAAATTCTGAGTGAACCAGTTTTAGTAAATAAACCTCACTATGTGCAAAGCGGAATGACAGATCTAGCAACCACCTGCCCCCAGTGTCTACCTCCTACAAACATAATGACATCGGCCCTGCCACAGTCTTTTTCATAAATTGCATTGGGGGAGTAACCAACTCAGCCACTGAATCGCTCTATAATTAAAAGACTTCTCTTTTGTGTTCAAATGTAGATTTTATAGGATGGTGATAAATGGAGTTCCTATGGAATGACTTGTTTAGCCCTGTGCAAATTGTCAGCATTGTAGCCCTTGTTATTACACATTTAAATTCCTGTCCATGTTTGATTATAGAATGGGTTGACATTTAACAATACTGTAGTATCAAAGTGCATTTTGCAGTGTGCTACCAAACTGCTGCATGTTAATTTTTGGGCAACAAAGCCAGTGTTTGACAACATGTTGGCATATGATATACTAGAAAGACTTTGAATGCAGTGGGTTGACTTAGAATTTTACACATTTATTTAAAAATATATATATAAAAATATTGAACAAATGCATTAAAAACTCAAGCTTAAAAAACGAAAAAGAGAGAAAAAAAAAAACATATCATATTGCAGATTACCATCTTTAGATGTAGTGGTTGCATTGATTTTCTTCTTTCCGGCAGCATGCCCCCCTCCCTCCTGTTTTTACATGATAATTCTGCTGGCAAAAAACTTTCTGTCCTTGGTGAGGGGGCTTTGGGCAACGCTCAGTGTACTGCATCTCTGAGTAGCGTTATTATTGGACAGAAGATTGTTAGGCCTTTCAACAATATTATAATTAATAGAATAAAAGGGAGTGAATAAGAGAAGTTCATTGTGGAGGTTTCCAAACACTTTGAATTCACTGCTGCTTCAGTTCTTTCAAACTCCAAAAAGTAAAATTAAAGTTTTTTCAGGGTGCAAAATATTGATATCCCTTTGGCAGAGGTATCATCTTTTGTTGTATGATTTTCTGTTAAGAAACGAAACAAACATGTAAGTAAGGTAGTCATTCAGAAGTTATCCAGAAAACTAGACCATATCAACTTACCTCCAAAAAGAGACTTAGTCGCACCACCACCCCCATTTGCCCCTCTGGAGTTACCAGCTTGATTCTGTAGGGAAAAAAAAAGAAAAGAAAGGTATCCTAAAATTCAAACCCTTTTCTCCATTGAGGGACACAGGCATCTTACACAAGTGGATTATACTGCTGCCTTCAAAGAGGATTGGACATTGGCATCAAAAACTAATGCTTGTTTTGTCCAGAGAGCAGTGACCATAATGGAGGGAACAGTGTCTCTCAATGTCAAAAGTATTTTACATTGTAAGTATAAAAACCAGGATTTTTGTATTTACTGTAAAATAATTTTATTGGGGTCCATTGAGGGATACAGGAAGTCATTTACTGTCAGGTTATACTGTAGCCTACAGGAGGATTGGACAAACAAACAAAAATTAATCTGTAAGCCCACCCAGGATAACTCCTCCTCTACCCCTCGTCCACTGAAGGACAAAGGAAGTCAAATACTGCAACTAGCAACAAGCTATTAGGACGAAATAAAACAGAACTGGAAACTGCGTGCAGCCCAAGAGCCATCTGAAGGGCCAGCGCCCAACCAGACACAAGATGAAGCTGAACCCTCTGTTTGATAGGGTAACCTTCCAACATAACACATCAACCTGATGTACAATACCTAGAAAACACAGACATAATTCAGAGAGCAATGAAACAACATGGAAGGAAGCACCAAAGAATCTACCAAGAGAGAAGCTGAACAACCTGAACCCTCCAAGAATTGAAACAATAACAAATTCCCATTGGGGAAAAAAATGGCAACAACCAACATGATTAGCAAGGAAACATCAACAAAATTCCGGGTAGAAACAGATACCAGGGACCTTGAGAAAACAAAAGAACAAGACCAACTATATAGAAAAAAAAATTATCCCATGTCTCTAATCACTTGACCCCATAAAGGACAAGAAACAAGAACTCAAGATTTTCTTGGAAAAGACAATCACCTCAAACCTAAGTGAGACTCACCAGAGAAGAACCCAAACTGACCACAAACACAACCTGCTAAGGGAGTGAAAATGACTGCTAAGTCCTACTGAGAATCCAGGATTTGATACCACAAAGTCTGCATGACTGAAGGAGAATGTGTATGGAAAAACAACCCAACAGAGGTAGGCAGGAGAGGAAGGATAGAACCTAACCATAAACTGGTGAGATGGGTTAACCAAGTTATGCAAAAGACCTCTGGGGCAGGCTCCAGGAGAAGTCTGCTGAGAATATATCCTGCCTAAACACAGAGTACAGCTGGCTTTAACATGGATCGAAATTTGGCCGGTTCAGCAGGGATCCATGTGTGGCCACTGTGGTTGAATAGAAGTCGATCTATTGATTGAAAACACTGAACCCTAAAGAAACCAGATCTGGACAGGTCTGCTGATCACTGGTGCAATGCTTTCCAGGCTTCCACAGACAAAAATAATAAATGCACATTTTTTTAACCTGCAAAAAAAATGTGCATTTATTATCTTTGCTCAAAAGGTGAACTTATCCTTTAAGGAGGGATTCCAACTACTAGTCAGTAGAATTATTAAAGGTAAGCATGTCGTCTTCTAAGGTAGCGGTTTCCCTGTTAAGGTGGTTTTTGGCAGATGCACGGTGAAGAATACTTGAAAAGTGAGTGCATTGGAAAGGTCTTTGCAGCTGTGGGAGCTCTGAAAGACACAGGGATGGAGACAAGTTGATCCTTAAATGAAAGGCAGATCACACTGCATCAGTAAGAGCTAAAATGGTCTCTTGTAAGTCTGAGGTCAGGAGGTTGAGATGCTCCAAGAACAGTCTCATCATCAGATGTGTGAGCTCTTACGACTCTCTGCAGTTAGTATCTACAAAGATTTGTCTGAACTTGGCCACAAAGACTTGTATAATTATAGTGGATACATCTAATGACAGGGTAAGGAACTCCACCTCACACAATGGAGTTAAAGACCCTATAACCACAGGGTCACTAGATTCCAAATTACAGATGTCCGTGCACTTGGGGATAATAGCCTAAATGATCCTAGAACAATAAGAAATTATTAGCAGATTGTGAACACTCATGGCAGAGGGACTGTCCCACCATATGGTGGTGATGCAGAGAAGTTCAAGGTGCAAGACAGAGCCTCAGATACTCATAAACCCAGGCAGCTGATGGTTGGGCCAGTGTTACTGTCGGAGGGCAGTGGGAACAAACCAAGGACTAGGCTACCTCAAGGCAATTTTGCAATGCAGAAGCAACAGTGGTACAATGTTTTCTCTGTGCTAGTTTGCAGGAGAGAATATGAGACTCTGGTAGAGGCAACAAGGTGATTCTCCAGCTTGAGGGCAGTGCACAGTACGTCAAAGAGGAGGCAAGTTCCCTTTGCTTATTTGTAATGGCTGCAGACGGAGAATCCTCCTCACCAGGAATGGCAGACACACAGAAACAGAGAAAGTGGCAGCAAATGACCAAGTAGCAGCAGCCAGCCATGCAAGCAAGTCTGGCTCAGACACAGACCAAGAAGGAGAAGTGGTATGCTTGTGAGATTTTACAGTCATAATCTGTGACCAATCAAGTAATCTGGGGCATGAAGCCTTCTTCCAACATTAGAAACCAGGGCATAAAGACTTCCGATGGGGGAAGGGGAAGGGAGATTCACTTATCAGGATTTTCTACCCCTCAGTTCTAATGGCCCTGCTCAAGAGGGGGGCTAAGTCAAGAACAAGGAGTAACAGGACTCAAAAAATATTGTGGCCCCATTTTTAAGGGATGCACTATATGCAAAGAGGAGCTAATAGAAATATGTGCACAAGGATCACCCACAGTAGTAGGATAATTCTCCCCTGCGCTTACAGTCAGATATGTTGATGCCGCAATAGTGGTAAACAACCAACAATCTTAAGGTGTGAGGCCAGACCTCAGTTGCTCAATGGTCAAGAATGGCCAGCTGAGCAAAGCTGCAGCAGACATGGGCCTGTGCTACATAATCAGGTTGGAAAAAAACAAAAAAAAACCCAAAAAAATAACACAACACACACACACGACACTAGACCATCTAGTTCAACCAATAAAAAAAAAAAAAAAAAAAACCACCACCACGCGCACACACACATAGTTGGAAAACCTCCATATACACTATCCTATACCCGCAGTTGATCCAGAAGAAAAAAAATCTCTAATAAAGCATGAACCAATTTGCTCCAGTGAGGCAACTGGATATTCCCTGAATCAACTACCTTTGGTGTTATTACCACTAAAATTGAGTATCCAGTTACAATTTTGGCCATTTAGAAATGCACCCAGCTCTTTTTTAAAATAGGCATGCTGGCTAGGGAAATAAAAAATTGTGCTCAATGGCTGTACCAATATGACTTCATGGCTAGTGAGGTCGGTCTGTATCAGCCAGCAGCTGTTAAATTGAAGAATTCCATGATTTTTGTTAAGGTTAAAAGAGAAGTTCACTTTTGGTAACGTGACATGTTACACCTGTATTTAGGGTGTAACGTGTTACTGAAGAGCACCTGCCCACACCTCCCCGATCTCTCATTGCAAGAGGGGGATTCTCTCCCTGCACCTGCTGTCTCAATTCAAAAACAGCACAGAGCTCCACTTAAACGGTCACGAAATTCATTCATAGGAAACTGAATAAATGACAAGTACCCTCTGCCATTGTGCAAGATGGCTTGTAGTTCTCAATGAAATGTAAGGGCACTGGTGAGCACTCTCGTAGTTTGATTCTTCCTGAAGTTCAGCAACTGTCTGCCCATATGGAAGGAAAAGGCAGACAGCCAACAGAGTCTACAGGGTCCTTGCGGCAGCAATGCTTTACAGGCTGCAATGTAAATACATTATAAATGCACTTTTTTTTAACCCGCAAAAAGATGTGCATTTTATTTTATTTCTTTTTTTCACAAAAGGTGAACTTATCCTTTAAGTCGGAGATCAGTTGGCTTATGTTTTTTTGATTTGCCAATGTCCAATCTTTCTGTAGGTGGCAATACAACTCACTTGTCTAAAATTCCTATGCCCCTCAATGAAAAAGCAAGAAAAAAAAAAACAAAAAACACAAAACTCTTTAGAATTTGCCCCATATTTAAAGTGTACGTGAAGTGTAGACCCTTTAGACACCATTGCCCATGTAAGCTGAAAAAAAAAAAAAATCCAAAACCTTACTAGAGATCAGTAGGTGTTCATTATAGCCTGCATATTAACCAGATTCTATTTCCATCCTGTTGTGCTACTGAATATGTCACACCCAGCAGTCACTAGAGTTCTTAGGAAAGACAGTAAAGGATCTTTGTTCTTGTTGACAGGAGATGGCATTCTCCAGCGTAAGACAACTGCTGCTGGGGGCAGGAAGCAGCAGCACAGACATATAGAAAAACAGAAGCGGGAGGACTGCAGGCCACAATGGATCTCCTAAATTAAGGTAAAGGGTCTTATTTAGTTTCTTGAGGCTAGAGACATGACAGTTAAAGTATCTGCAAAGAAAGCAAGATTATTCTTTATATTACACATGCTCTGAGGAAAAAAAAAAAACACATTACCTTTCATCAGTATTTAGTTTCTCAATGGTATAGGAATTGATTAATTCAGATAATGTCAGCATAAAGCAGTATGGTGGCTACATATTCAGCACTGTTTACTTGAGTTATTGTATTGTTAACAATGTACACAAAGAGGCTCAGTTTTGTGTTTTATACCATTATATACAAAACTCAATAAATAGAGATTTAAAAAAAACAAACAAAAAAACACTGTATTCAGCACTTAGCTTGTAGCTCTGTATTCTGGGTTCAAATCCCATCACTGAGACTATCTTAATGTCGTTCAACATGTTCTCCCCACAATCCAAAAAAAAGCTGGTAGTGTTACTGGTACCTAGAATCTAATAAGTAGTGTAGGTACATTGTAAGACATTAAAGCAGCAGTGTGTGTGTGTTTGTGTTGCAATAATGTGCAAATATGCACAGCAAACATGCTCTATGCCATTTGTGACAGCCCCACAGGCACTGCCAGCATCTCCTTCGGCTGTCAATGATGATGCAACTCCCAAGCATGCACCATATCGACACCAGGCTCCACTGTTTGGCTATATACAGTCAGGTCCATAAATATTGGGACATTGACACAATTCTAACATTTTTGGCTCTATACACCACCACAACGGATTTGAAATGAAACAAATAAGATGTGCTTTAACTGCAGACTGTCAGCTTTAATTTGAGGGTGTTTACATCCAAATCAGGTGAACGGTGTAGGCATTACAACAGTTTACTTTTGGTCCCTTAACAAGTGGGAGGCACATATGCAATGGGACAATTGGCTTCTCAGCTGTTCCATGGCCAGGTGTGTGTTATTCCCTCATTATCCCAATTACAATGAGCAGATAAAAGGTCCAGAGTTCATTTCAAGTGTGCTATTTGCATTTGGAATCTGTTGCTGTCAACTCTCAAGATGAGATCCAAAGAGCTGTGACTATCAGTGAAGCAAGCCATCATTAGGCTGAAAAAACAAAACAAACCCATCAGAGAGATAGCAAAAACATTAGGCGTGGCCAAAACAACTGTTTGGAACATTCTTAAAAAGAAGGAACGTACCGGTGAGCTCAGAAACACCAAAAGACCCGGAAGACCACGGAAAACAACTGTGGTGGATGACCGAAGAATTCTTTCCCTGGTGAAGAAAACACCCCTTCACAACAGTTGGCCAGATCAAGAACACTCTCCAGGAGGTAGGTGTATGTGTGTCAAAGTCAACAATCAAGAGAAGACTTCACCAGAGTGAATACAGAGTTCACCACAAGATGTAAACCATTGGTGAGCCTCAAAAACAGGAAGGCCATATTAGAGTTTGCCAAACGACATCTAAAAAAGCCTTCACAGTTCTGGAACAACATCCTATGGACAGATGAGACCAAGATCAACTTGTACCAGAGTGATGGGAAGAGAAGAGTATGGAGAAGGAAAGGAACTGCTCATGATCCTAAGCATACCACCTCATCAGTGAAGCATGGTGGTGGTAGTGTCATGGCGTGGGCATGTATGGCTGCCAATGGAACTGGTTCTCTCTTTATTTATTGATGATGTGACTGCTGACAAAAGCAGCAGGATGAATTCTGAAGTGTTTCGGGCAATATTATCTGCTCATATTCAGTCAAATGCTTCAGAACTCATTGGACGCCACTTCACAGTGCAGATGGACAATGACCCAAAGCATACTGCAAAAGCAACCAAAGAGTTTAAGAGAAAGAAGTGGAATGTTATGCAATGGCCAAGTCAATCACCTGACCTGAATACAATTGAGCATGCATTTCACTTGCTGAAGACAAAACTGAAGGGAAAATGCCCCAAGAACAAGCAGGAACTGAAGACAGTTGCAGTAGAGGCCTGGCAGAGCATCACCAGGGATGAAACCCAGCGTCTGGTGATGTCTATGCGTTCCAGACTTCAGGCTGTAATTGACTGCAAAGGATTTGCAACCAAGTATTAAAAAGTGAAAGTTTAATTTATGATTATTATTCTGTCCCATTACTTTTGGTCCCTTAACAAGTGGGAGGCATATATGAAAACTGTTGTAATTCCTACACCGTTCACCTGATTTGGATGTAAATACCCTCAAATTAAAGCTGAGACAGTCTGCAGTTAAAGCACATCTTGTTCATTTCAAATCCATTGTGGTGGTGTATAGAGCCACAAATGTTAGAATTGTGTCAATTTCCCAATATTTATGGACCGGACTGTATATATATATATATATATATATATATATATATATATATATATATTTATTTAGTACATTGCAGCAGGTAGCATAGGAAAAAACAGAAGTTGCTAGCAAAAAGTTTTTTTTCTTTTGTTTTTACCTACAATGGCTCTTCTACCAAACACCTGTGATTACTAGCAAATTATATTTTTTTTTCAGGCTACGGTTCCAGTTACGGAGTACAGTATGTGATATGCAGAGTTCCCTTAAAAACAGTTTTCCAAAACACACATACCTAGGGAAGAGTTCGTCTTTGAGTAACAAGATTAATTTCCAAAACTGGCCTTGGTATTGTTTCATTAAGGCATTCCCGCACACCTGCAAACAGAAAGCAGAACATTCAGTGCAAGTAAAAAAAACAGAATAAACTTTGAAGTCATCTTGTCCTCAACATCCAATGCTGTGTTAGTTTTCATTTTATACCAACCCCTAACAAAAATGAAAGCTGTAATCAAATTCATTGCCAAATAGCCTTGTTTGCCATAAAGGACTTATGGGTCTCTGCCCAGTCCGGTGGAAAGAGGGAACATCATCAAAACTCAGTTATAAATTTTAATAGCTTAAAGCCCATTCTTGGGAAAACAAAAAGGCTCCCATAGAGTGGGGCTGCAAAAAAACTGTTTTACTTCCAAACTGGATTTCCTGACTAATCCCTCTTGCTTGCAATTCAGCTTTCAATGTCTCTAGACTTCTAAATGGACGTTAATGTTAAACCAGAAGTAGCAGGGTGACTAGGAAAGCTTTGTGGATCATAGGAAGAGCTGGCCATAGTTGCACACATTCTTTGACAGGTGAAACAATAAACAAATTATATCAACTATGTATTTAACCTCTTGGCTAGAGTACCCCCTTAATGTAGCTGTGTGGGTTTTTTTTTTTAAGAGAACATTAAGTGTAATTGTAAGTGCAACTAGTAGCTATAATTGTAAATGCAGTTAGATTATGTAACTGAAACTATCCTGCAAGTCCTCCAAGGCTGTATCAGCATCCTGTATAATAGTGCTTAGGCTAGAAGAGAGGGTCCAGTCAGGCTTTGCAGCTGTAAATGTGTTAGCAGCAAACATGCAGACAAGAGGAGAGAGCAGAGTGATGACCTAATTCGTGCAATGCTTTTTCTTCATTGCATAATTCAGCAGCGCAGTTTGTGTCTGAGACTGGAAGTAGTGAAGGATGAGTACCTGATTTTACTGTCTGGAAGGGGTTACAACACTGAACAGAATTACAAATCCTTTGGAAGCTGAAACATCTCTCATACAGTAGGTATATGAAAGAATCACACCCTTTAAAATAATCACATTTTGTTGCTTTGCAGCCTGAAATGAAGACAGACACAATTACAATGTGTTAGCAGCTGGATAAAACAAATGCTGTGTCTTCATTTCAGGCTGCAAAACAACAAAATGTGATTTTAAAGGGGGGGGGGGGTGATTCTTTTCTATACCCACTGTATGTATTTTAAGATTTGTTTTTATCCATTTATCTGGTGTTCTTTTTGTAACTGTGGACAGACTTCAGTTATTTGCATATTCCTAAAGCCCAAATGAACTTCCAGTTTAAAGTTTCAAAACTCTCATGTAGAATCACATAGTCTTAAGCTACTGTAGTCAAGAGCAGAGAAACAGAAATGATTCTGGATGAAGGAAAACTCTGACTTGGGCTGTGTCTAGGACTAGTTCAAGATTCTCCAAGTGGTGTGTCTGCTCCAGAGCTGATCTGTGAATATTTGGACTGACTGCATCACATTGATGGTCAGAGTTTGATATGACTGTCCTATTATATTAATATGAAATCATCTAGGTATACTACAATACCCTGGGGAGCATAGCAAGGTGAGGGCACAGGGGTCAAAATGTTGGTAAACACTTAAGGTGTGAATGATAGGCCAAACAGCAGGGCTTTCTGCTCCAAGATTGGACTAATACTTCCTTTTGGTTTTGGAACAGTGAAGAGTTTGGAGCAAAACCCCCTGAAACCTTTCCTGCATTGGCACAAGCCTGCAAGAGCAGAATAGAGGTCTGCTAGTCCTTGCAATGACACGACTAGGTTAGACAACAAGAAATGAGGTGGAACCATAGAATGAATTTTAGCTAATAACTGCCAGACAACACTTCTCTTATACAAGTATCCAAGGTCCTTGCTCACCAGGTGTCTGCAAAGGCCAACTGACATTCCCCCACTTAGGAAATCAGGAGTGCCCCTTCATGCTAAAGAGGACTTGTCTGAAGGCTTGCAGGTTTAGTGACCCAAGGTTTGTGGTTGTAAGCCAAAAAAAGGGCACCGCTCTTAGGCTGCAATCATACCTGAGACTTGCAAACTGTGACATAGAAATGTGCAAAAAACACATTACGCTTGTGGTGCCATTATTTCTTAATGGCACCCCACACGCGCGTAGCAGTCGCGCAACAAAACGCGCACAAAAATGTGCACCACCATATGTGCTTGGCTCAGTGCCAAAAATTGACACTTAAGCTTCTTTGACGTGTTTGTTGCACAATGGGCAATCCATTCAACTCCATGGGCTGTTGCTCCAAAGATGCAACTGGTGTTCATGCAATCCTGGGCTTGGCCTTGGAATTCGAACCCTGGAGGAAATGAAAATAACTCTTTTGGCTTCAGAGGTGGGAGATGATTTGCCAGTTTGAAGCTTGGGCTTCTTCAGCTGAGCTAAATGAGTACTTTTATCACTCCATAAAGAAATTGTCCAATGAAGCATTAAAAAGTCATTCACCATGAAAGGAATGCAGAACAAGCATGCATATTTATTTATTTTTACACTGCTGTTGCACAGACCAACATTTTAGCCACAGAGACCTTCTTACGTGGACAAACCAGAAACTCATTTGAGAAATAAGATAGATGATATCAACTAGATAATCCACACAATAACTTAAGACAAAAAGCTCTAAGCTCTCTATAACGGACATTACTGCAGGATTCATAGCAGGGTTTTGCTTGCAAAAATAAAATTTTAGAAAGAGATTCCAAACCGTTTATCAGTGGGATCCTTAAAACCAATTTAGGACCAGCACATTGTAGCTTTACAGCTCTGCCAGCATCACGTATATATGTAGGATCTTGGACTTCTCGGAAGGGGACGCACATGTGTGCTGAACCGGTTGTGCTGTCATTCGCTACAGCACATGCCGATCAGCGGCAATGATTCATGGCCAGGACCCAGTGATCAGTGGAGTGGATGACAGAGAGAGGTCTGTGCTGGTAAACAACACAGATCTCCCTACTGACAGCGGCGATGTGCCAGTTTTTGTCTCCCTGCAAATGCAAGGAATAAAAACAGACACATTGTTTAGTAAAAGCACCACACGGGTAACCTACTAACACTTTTTAGGCACACAGTTAACAGTTTGATTGCCCCAGATGTTAACTCCTTCCTACTCCTAGTACATTGTCAGTGCGTTTTATTAGCAAAGATCATTGTTTTAGTGTCACTGGTGATGTTAGTGTCAGCCGGTGTCGGATTGCCCACCATACTATCACAGTCCCGCTATAAGTCGCTGATTGATGTCATTATTAGTATACAAAATAAAATTTCTATATATATTAATATACACTTGGGATTTTTTTATTTCACCAAAGACATGTAGCAGAATACATTTTGGCCTAAATTTATAAAGAATTTATAAAAAAATTTTTGTTTGTATTAGATATGTTTTATAGCAGAAAGTAAAAAAATATAGTTTGTTTTCTCAAAATTTTAGATCTTTTTTCGTTTATAGCACAAAAAATAAAACAAACAGTGGTGATCAAATACCACCAGAATAAAGCTCTATTTTTTATTTGGGTACAGCACTGCATGGCCGCGCAACTGTCAGTTAAAGTAGTGCAGCACTGTATAGCAAAAAAATGGCCTGGTCATGAAGAGGGGTAAATCTTTCAAAGGGTAAGTGGATAAATTACAATGCAACACCCTCAATAGCTGCAGTCAGTGTTTTGTTCAGTTGAGGACAGCCCACTTTTGATGAAAATGCTCAAATGGATCTGCAAAGCATTTGGGAAGGGTAAATAATTTCTTAGGAGTGTCCCAGTTTCTGTAAAACAGGATGAAATAAGAAGTGTATTGGGAAAGCTTTGATATTCTTTGGCCCTTTCAGGGAACCCAGACTGGTAAAAGCACCAGTAGAAGCTCCAGGTTGCTCCATTTTAAATGTGACACACACAGCATTGATAAGAGCCCATATAGTATCTTTTAGCCTGGGAGCTATATCAGCTAAGGGTCCTTGGGAAAAAATCTTCATCAAGGATTTTTTCAGACAGTAGGTCCGCAACACAAGACTCAGAAGGTGCTACAGTTGCAGAAATTTCACACAAGGATTACTGCCTCTGCATTCAGAGTCACCAATCATATTTTCAATTTTGCTCATGAAACCTAAAAACAACTGCAGGGAACTCTTTCCTGAATAAGGCAGAAGAGGGGACCCTCCCTTGATGGACAACGGTCCAGACCACTAGTGTCTAGTACTTTAGGAAGGTCACTGCAGGCTATACCTAAATTATTATTAGATCCTAAGATAGAGCGATCCATGTTTCAGGACTGCTCCCCTTGTGCTTGGGATCTGACATGGTGTACTGTGTTGACGGAAAAACTTAGTAGCAAAAGTAGATAAAAACCTTGGTTTACTTACAACCAACTGCTTAAGCAGAAGAGATTATTGACTGAAGTTGGCAGGGTCGCTGTAGGTGACAGCAAAAACTGAGCCGAGACTGTGTCACTTTTAGATATGGCAGGAAGAAGCCAACTCATGCTGAAGGAAAAAAGATGGGAACAGAGTGGGGAGTGTGTGTGTGTGCAACACTCAACTAATGACGCAGCATGTAATTATTACTCAGTATGTTAACCTTTTTTGCAAAAACAGACAAATTAGGAGATTAATGGTGGCACCGAACAATACCAATTCGAGTAGTAATTGTTGCTGCTCAGTGCAAATGGCATACCCATTAAAGAGTCTTCGGAGACTTTGTCAAACCAGAGGCTGTGCCATGGCTTTGGATCGGAGAAGTGCTCTGCAGCTAACACTGTACCTAAGGGCTGTGAAGCTCCATTTCAGGCAAGGTCTGCAATCTTTGGCAAAGTAGGGTCTGGGTACCGCTTCTAAGCCTTCACTGAGGATTAGTTAATCCAAATAGCTGCAAAGAGAGCCTAGCTCAGCAGCATTTAGATATTATCACGACTGAAGAATATCTTGCATGATATAAAAAATGTAAAAAGAACAAAAAATAGCTAGTTTAAAAAAAAAAAAACAAAGGGGGGAGGGGCCTTAAAACTTTTCTCAATAGAGAAAAGACGTCTATTCTCTGAGATCACTAGCAAGAGACTGAAGTATGAATAGGCCAATATCTTGGAGTTGGACATTAAGAACAAAGGCACAGAGGATCTGGTCTAAACCAGGTCAGGCTCCTTCTCTCAGCAGTTAACTTGGCAGCTCAGCACACCAGCTCCCCCTTCCAGCAGTGACACAGCAGCTCATCTTACCATGCTACCCCCCCCCCCCCCCCCCCCCCCCCATCAATGACTTTCATCTTGCCCCCACCTTCCTCAGCATCTACTCAGCAGCCTTACAATCTCTGTAAACATGGGGCAGGAACCCAGAGGCAGAGAAGGGTCAGCTGAGCTGCTAATATATCAGACTTTGACAACTTCGCGTCTTTTGCAGTGAACATGGAGGATGAAAGTTCCCATAATGCCTGCAGCTACAAAGGTCAGTGAGGGCATGTCAATAGACCGTCTACAGGTTCACTTAAAAGAAGCTCAAACCAGCACCACCTACGTGCTAAACTAGTTCAGGATAATTCAACAGATTTAGCCCGATGGCCTCTGAATGAAAACATGGCATATAAATATATGTAGAAAAATATGGGAGCTGCCCTCACCGATTTTGGCAAGCTCAAGGTCATCATCCAGATACTTTCTTCACTACACAGTATGGGGGTTATTTACTAAAACTGGAGAGTGGTTTCTATGCAGAGTTGCACTAGATTTTGCAATCAGCTTCCAGGTTTTATTGCCAAAGCTTAACTGAACAAGCTAAGGTTAAAAGCCGATTGGCCACCATGCACAGCTGCACCAAATTCTGAGAACATCAGTCTTAGTAAATCTCCCTCTAAGTGGTTGACCCAAGTTTAAAATGTAGCCAATGAAAACGGACTAGAAATATGGAAAGTTTGAGTCCTAACAGTTTGCCTTTAAAATGGACATGAACACCTGGGGAAGGGGTGGAACATTCCCACCATCATCAGGCAGGAACTGTGATCAGGTGTGTTTTTCCTGAACACATTTACTGGATGATTGACAGTGACCAATGATCCTACAGCTACGGTTTGACTTAAGATCCACAGCTGGACCAAGCATGGATAAGTTGTAAGGCATTAAAAACAAAAACACTTTAGGCTGCAGTTTCCAGGGCAGGACAGCACAGGGACTAGAAAAATAACTGGGTCATTCTGAAAGTTCCCATGGGTGGTAGCTATGGCGTTGACATATTGTTTGAAAACTACATATGTTAAATTTACGCATAAGGGCTTAAAGTAGAACTATAGGCAAAACTTTTTTTTTTCCTTGTGGATAGAGTATAGGTAGGGTGATAACCCGTCAGATTTATTTTCATACTGTCCCACTGCAGAGATTTCCCTTCACTTCCTGTCCCATAGTCAAAACAAGAAGTGAGAGGAAATCCCTTTAAATTAAAAGGAATTAAGGAATTCCTTACGGACCGCCAGCTCATCAGAACTAATGTCCCCATTGTCCCTTCTACTACATTCCTTCTTTTTTTTTTTTTTACTTTCACTTTTGATGATATTGGTAAAACAGGACAAATAGATAAGATGTATTTACTTATCAAGGGCACAGACAGCAATAAAAACTAACAGGTGTTCTTTCTAATCCATCTCCACTCTATCCAAAACAAAACAAAAAGTTTTGCCTTTAGTTATACTTTAATGAAATGGACCTAATGGAAACCAAACCATATATAGAACTGGTCAGTTCCAGTAAGGTCCCTCCAACAAAAGTAGGAAAAAATATGGCTTCTTATTAAACTACTAGTAGCCATATTTATAAAGCAGTACAATTAACATCCGGTAAACATTCTTCACAGGTTACATAGTCTGGCTGAAAAAAAAGACAAAAAGTCAATCCAGTTCAACTATAATAAAAAAAAAAAAAAGTTATAATCTTATACCTACAGTTGATCCAGAGGAAGGCAAAAAACCCTGCAAAGCATGATCCAATTTGCTCCTGCTGAGGAAAAATTTCCTTCCTGATCCCTTGAGAGGCAATCGGATATTCCCTGGATCAACTTTACCTATAAATGTTAGTATCCAGTTATATTCTGTGTATCTAAGAGAAAGAATCCAGGACTTTTTTAAAGCAATCCACTGAGCTGGCCAGAACCAACTCTTGAGGGAGTCTATTCCACATTCTCACAGCTCTTACTGTGAAGAAACCTTTCTGTATTTGGAGATTACTTCTCTTTTCCTCCAGACGTAAAGAGTGCCCCCTTGTCCTTTGTGATGACCTCAGGGTGAATAGCTCTACACCGAGTTCACTATATGAACCACTGATGTATTTATACATGTTGATCATATCCCCCCTTAATCTCCTCTTCTCAAGAGAGAATAAATTCAGTTCCTCTAAGCTTTCCTCATAGCTGAGCTCCTCCATGCCTGTTATCAGCGAATCTTCCTTTAAATATGATATACAAGTGTGGCGAGGTATAACACCATACAAGAGACAAGATTGGAATCAGTGCTGGTAAACAGACCATACACGGATCGAAAATCATCCGGTTCAGCAGAGACCAGCTGAATTTCAAATTTCAATCCATGTATGGGCTCCCTGGTTGTACACAAATCGATCTATCGATCAGCTTGTGAATAACCAGTCTGTTGGGTTTTTCTCAAACAATTAGTACCGCCATTTTATTTAACGAACAGATTAGGCTGAGTTTGAAAATGGGCTCTGTAATATTCTCCACAGACAGTGATAAAATAAAAAATGTTTCCACCAAATCCAACTTACTCTCTTGTATAAATTGTGGCCTCACCACATAACCCTTCCTTCTCAAAATGTCATGAAAAGGCCAATTTTTTTTTATGTGTTTGGCTGTGTAGGCACACTCAGAGATAATGAAAGTGTATTAATCAGCACAGTGGATCCTTTAGCTCTATAGAATATCTACTGTATATTCCTGAAGTGCATGCTTGAAGATCCAGCTTTAAATAAACAAGTATAACTTGTTAACGGTTTATGGTATAGTGCAAGTTATAGACATCTTTTTTTTTTTTTTTAAATTAACATTGGTCAGGAAATGCACAAATACTAGGGAGAAAAAGAATGAGTTACCTCCAAGAAGTCATATAAAAGTGTAGCTGTAACATCTGCTACTGGTTCAAGGTTTAAGATTTGTGCCAGCCAACGCCAACCATAATTCAACCCATGAGGGTGATGCTGCAAACCAACAGACAAGGACAGGTTGTTACTCATAGATCAGTCAAGATGGTTCATCTGCACAAGTACTCAAGTTGGTCTTTCAGCAAGGTATTACAGGTGTACCTCGGTTTACAAAATGCCTTGTTAATGTAATTTTCGGTTTACGAATGAAATTCCATTGAAAATAATGCCTCAGTTTACGAATTTGTTTCGCAATACGAAGTGTATGTCGGTGCCGATTTTTTAATGCAATTGCCGGGTTTTTTTTTTTTTTCTTCATTATAGCTCACAGAATTAGCTGTCACTTTCCCCGGAGTTAAAGGAAATGTTGCTTCTTTCAAGAAACTAAAAGGAAAATTGTTTCTTTTAACTTGGGGAAATAAACTAAAAGGAAACTTACTTTCTTTTAGCTGGGGGGAAGTGACAGCTGAATCTCTGAGCTATAGTGAAGAAAAAGGTCCCATAGCCCCCCCCCCCCCCCAAAAAAAAAAATCTCCATACCAAAACCTTATCCGAGCATGCAGGTCGGCAAGTCAGGAAAGGAAAAAGGTGGGGGGGGGGGGGGGGGATGATGAGTGAGCGGCCTCCCCCCCCTCCTGAACCATGCCAGGCCACATGCCCTCAACATGGGGAGGGTGCTTTGGGGCAATGGGGGCTCCCCCCCCAAAAGCAGCTTGTCCCAATGTTGATTCCAATAATCCCCCTGCCTACAGACCCCCACAACCACGAGCCAGGCAGGTGGGGGGGCTTATCGGAATTTGGAAGCCCCCTTTAACAAGGGGGGCCCCCAGATCCCACCCCCCCTCCCCATGTGAATGAGTATGGGGTACATGGTCCCGCTACTCATTCACAAAAAAAAACAAAAAGTGTAGTGTGAAAAAAAACAGGACACGGTCTTTGAGAAGTCCTTTATTAAAAGAAAGAAGAAATAAAAAAAAAAAAAAAAAAAAAAAAAAAGAAGAATGTCCCCCACAGTAGATCCAATGTCCGCCGGAATTAAAAAAAAAAAAAAAAAAAAAAAAAAAAAAAAAAAAGGCTCCACTCCTGACGATGGCCCCTGGCTGGCTGCCTGCCTGCTCTGGTGGTTTGACAGTTCTTAAATAAGTAAGGGACTGGGCCACCCGGGGATATCACGCATGTGACCCCCCCCCCCCCCATTCCTCTACCGGGCTCTCCTGTGCAATTAGAGAGCCTGGCAGAGATGTGACTGGCAGCATCCAGCTTTAGGCACACAGTGAGAGGCATGGATGTCGCTCCTCCAACTGTGTGGCATCAGAAACAGAAAGTGATGAGGATTTTGTCATTTCCTGTTTCAGTCCCAAGTTTACCTGGCAGTTACCTGCCAGGGAAGCAGCCGATCAGACTGATCTGTGTCTGATCGGTTGCATTGGAGGCAGAAGAGGGATCTGGGGTCTAATAGATCATTAAAGAGGACCTGTCATGGCCTATGAGGTAGCCTTCATACTTTCTCACTACAGTATTCCCTAAAATAAAACACACACACACACAAAATCACAACACGTAAATTCACATACACATACCCCTTGTACTGTTCCAAACGGATAGCGTATTTGCAAGATAGCAGCATACAAACGGATCATTCCTGACATTCGTTTCAAGAAGTTGTCCTGTTGCTCAACCACAGAGCCCTCTACAACATAACCCAATGTCCTATGAAGAAAAAAAGGTAAGAGGGTATCAAATGTAAATCTACCTGCATTACCGGGACAGAAATCATCTCCTATGTCTTTTAGAGACTCCAGTCATTAAGTGAAGGGGGGGAAAAAGCCATGTACTTAGGAAAGTTTTACTACAAAATACCCAGTCACAAGGAGACTTAGGCCCCATCCAGACACTGCATAGCAGGAATGAGCACTCCTGCTTGTGATATTTAGGCCCTATTCACATAGGATAATTTGAAAGGATGGGCAGAATCAACGTGATTTTGCCCGCAATTCCAAATAGATGCAGAACACGCAAAATTTGGCTGCCGTTATACCTCTGCCACGACTGTTGCACAACAGAATCACAAAGCAATCGTGGCAAATAGCGTGGTTAAAATTTGCGCTAAACTTGTAGCCCAAAAAAGGAGCGGGAGCTTCTTTTGGGTGACAAACTTGCATAGGGCAGTCCTGAAAGTGAATGGGCTGCCCTATGCGCGACACGTATTTCCATGTGTGGGAATGCTTGTTTGTACTACCCGAGGTCTGAATGGGGCCTTAAAGCAGGATTTACACATGGAAACGTGTCGCACATAGGACAGCCAAATCGCCTCAATGAGCTGCCCTATGTGCATCTGCCGCCCAATAGAAGCCCCTGCTACTTTTTCATACCATGTCTGATGTGCCATTAAGAATAATTCTGCCAATGATCTCAATGGTTAGTCCATATACCCATAGATCTGCATTCTCTTCTGGAACTACTGTACTGAAGTATGTGACCTAAACTTTGACAAGGTTATTATACAAGTTGACTGGAGATCTATGCCACATGAGAGCAACATCACTGGAACTAGTCAGCTTGATTAAATGAACGGGTCACTTACAATACAGGATTAGAAAAAGAGAGATCTAGCACTTCTTACACAAGTAGAGTGAAGAACAAGGCATGATATGTGAGTAATAGGGAAAGGATCAACTGCAGGGAGCGTACAGAAAATACTGGGGATTAGACTTCAGCACTCTGCTTGAAATATTTTGGGGAACGCTTCCATAGTATAGGAGTGTTTAGATGAAGGGACAGGTTAGGTGTGAGTGACAAATCAGTGTTAATATAGGTTACCTGTGATGGGTAAGATTATTCTCCATTGTCATCATTATTAAATTGTTATTATTATTATTATACAGTATTTATAAAGCGCCAATAGTTCGCTCAGCGCTGTACATTACAAAGGGGGAAATTAAATAATTTCTACTTGTATCCTCAGGCTAGTTTTCTAGATATATGAAAGCTATACACAGGTATTTTCTTTGACTTTGTGTCCGTATATGTTCTGGAACGTTTGTTTTGCGAAATGACCTACTGCTATTCCCAAACAGCAAGCTCATTCCTAGTCTTTTCTATTTATATACACTTTGATTCATATATAATATATTTTAGCATCTATATTTAACTGATGTTACTCTCATAATTTTCTATCATGTTTAACAATCCTTTGCTGTAATGTAATGGCAGGGGACGCAGCCTATAATCTATCCATGCTACTATTTAAAACAGATCCCAGATGGCAGACAGATAGCACTGATGAAGACAGTTTAGCCCTCAAAATACGTTAGCTCTTGTATATGCCAAGTGATGTTGCTTGCGTTTGTCAAAAGGCATTGATCAAGTTTATGGCTGAAGCTGGCTTCTGTCTTTTGTACACGAGCGTCTATTCAGCTTTTTGAGTATAATCACTTGCGTTTTTAACTTCAATAAGTGGTACCTTAGGTAATGCACAAGGTTGGTGCACCCTTCTTGCTTTTTGCATGAATGCAGAAATTTAGCCTGTTCCTAGTGTCTGGTCTGTGCAAAGTTTCAGCCGCTTTAAAGTAACATGCCATGTGTGTATCTAGGCTTCCTTTAGATTGTAAGCATTCTTCAGTGGGTTTCTCCTTCCTAGCAGATAACAGTTGTCTTATGCACAGTGGGCTTGTGTATTAGGATTTTGCATTAATAATTACCTCTGGTAGTCTACAAGAGGAACACCCTTCTTGTATACTGGGTAAAAGGGCACAGCATAAGGGCACTTTTTATACAGGTGAGCGAGGAAGAGCTCTCCCACTTGGGGGTGCCTCTCCCATATACCAGAAAAAACCGTTGCTAAAGGAAAAGCAGATTCGTGATGGGAAGCAACTTCTTTCTCTGCTTGAGCCTGTGGACAATAAACATAAAACACTTCTATAAAAGGTCTGAAAACCAAAGGCAACAATAGGAGGTTTAAAAAAATACAGTAAAATGCAGTAAAGGATATTGCAGGATATAAGCTCCAATGTCTAACAAAAAAACAAACAAACAGCAACTTACCACAAACCTCTCAGCCAGCTTGTAATTCACAAATTCTGATGCCAGAGAATGTATGGCTAGAGACACGGAGCTATCTCGCATCCTAACTTCCCCTCCTGTCAGTAAGGTGTTCAATTTTTTAAAAACCTGCTGCACATTAGCTGTGGAAGGAAAAGAATATATTCAAGGTCATTCTCAAAGGGCAAAATTTGGGGGATTGCTTACCTTGTATGTACAGTTACAGCTAACAGGGAAACATCAGCTTTCAGAGTGAAAAAGAAGATAAAAAGCTTAAATATAGTAAGGCGGTCATAATGCAAGTGTCTTGTAACGATTGGGAGATTTACTTGTCCCTCCAGCAGCCTTTGTCTCCCATCTTATCACTGTTTCAGCTCTACAGCCAGTCTCCTCAGCATTCGACAACTCAACGAGCCCCGGATGCCAGTGTGCCCCAACGAGTGTTGTAGTTCCATCTTGTGTGCCCTGTGGCACAACAGGATAAAACAGGGACATGGAGCCCTGTTTTATGTAATCAAAGAGTACTGCAGGAGAAACAGCATCTGGAACTCTTGAAGTGTCAAATGCTGTTAAAGCAGAACTCTGGGCAAAAACTTCTTTATATGTCCTTATTGCCTATTTCCTACGTTCACTGAATATGTCATCCACCTTCTGGTTCACTCAGTAGTTGCTCTGAAATAGCCTATTTATTATCAAATCAAACTGTTAATTCTCTTTGGTTTCCTGTTTGTAAGACCGGAGGCTGCCATGCCTCCTATTCCCCCAGCCACTGGTCTTGGCACATCCCTTTTGTAGCTCGTTCTCCAGGAAACAGTGATGTAATTCAGCCCCACTTGCTGTGGTGGGCTGACTGGGACTCTCAGACATACTCAAGGCCTAGTGTACCTGCCCACATTCACTACAATTCCCTGTGGTTGATGGGAACTGTAGTTTCCTTTTGCTGCAGAGAGAAAGGAGACGATATGATGTAATCCCGGCTGTTAAATCTCTTTCTTAGCACAGCAGATGCTGTTATCTTTTGAATTACAGAGATGAGGTCATGAAAATTCAATTAAACTTTTATCCTCCATGTTAAAGCGGAGTTCCAGTCAGTTTTGTGTTTAATAAAAGTCAACAGCTACAAAAACTGCGGCCGGAAGTGGGAGTGGGTACCTGTCAAAAACAGGTATCTGCTCCCCCCTCCCCCAAAAGGTGCCAAATATGGCAGTGGAGGGGGAGGAGGCAAATAAGCGCTTTAAGGATTTTCAATATTTTATTAACTGTTTGTTTTGTGTAGGGGGGTGTACTAATCAGTGATTTTTTGCCTACCCTGGAATTCTTACATCTGTAGGAGGCTAGAGCACTGGAACAGAGTGAAGGAAGGGAATATGAATCCCCAGAGAATATAAATTAATAGGATTTTAGTATTTGCTGTAAAATCCTGACCATAAAACCCGCCCCCAAAAAACAGAGAAAAAAAACAAAAAAAAACAAACTGTAGGCTATCCCAGAAAAACCTTACCACTACTAACATGCCCTAGTTTTGAAGCAAAGCAGAATTGGCAGAAGGGCCTTACACCAAAAGTTGGCACCACACAAGACCATAAAGTCCACTTGGAGAACGTGTGAAAAGAAGACTATGCGGCAAATCTGGGAAACAGTTGCTTAATGCCAAAAAATCCAAGCAGAACTCACAGATCTATTAGAGTTTCTTGAAATCTAGAAACCATAGATAAGGATTACCAGTCAGGGCCACCTAGAGATAGTGGAACAAAAGGGCAACGGGGTAATTTGTCTTCCTGAAAGAAGCAGTGGCTGGGAAATAGTATTATTGAATCCTGAATCATCACCAGACAATGCGGGAAACATCCTTTGGGGATGTGGAGATAGACAGAAGGATAGGTAAAAGATCTAAACTACCTTAGGGAAGAAGGAAGTCATGGACACCAACATCAACTAACAGCCCTTCATTCGTTTATTCATTCTTTTGCTGCCAGAGCTGTTTTTGTGTTTTTTTTGCACACGTTTAGAAAAAAAATCATTTTACGCCTGAAGATTACATAAAACCTCCAAACATTAATTTCTAAAAGCAGACACCCTAAAGAATGAAATAATGGTAGTTGCAATTTTTTATGTTACATGATATATTATATAATAATTATTATTATTATTATTATTATACAGGGCGGCACAGTGGCTTAGTGGTTAGCACGTCTGCCTTGCAGTAAATGGGTCATGGGTTTGATTCCCGACCATGGCACCTCCTGCATGGAGTTTGCATGTTCTCCCTGTGCTTGCGTGGGTTTCCTCCGGGTGCTCTTGTTTCCTCCCACACTCCAAAGACATGCTGGTAGGTTAATTGGATCCTGTCTAAATTGGCCCTAATATGTGTACGTATGAATGTGAGTTAGGGACCTTAGATTGTACACCCCTTGAGGGTTAGGGACTGATGTGAATGTACACTATATAGGTACCTGAAATAAATAATAAATACATTATTGCAAAGGTCTAGGAAATGCAAAATTTCTGTAAATGCATGCAGCCTGAGATACATGGCAGGGATGGGTGTGCATTGGAGAGGGGAGGGGATTGTAGCCTTTACCAGGCGGGTTTGGAAGCAATCAGGTGGCTGCACAACTGCCAGTTACCATCCATCTGACAGCTGGCTTATCAGATACACACACTGGTACCACCACTGGGAGTGTGTGTAAAATCCTCTCTGCTGTCAGGTCCGCACGATGTACAGACCTGGCAATGAAAAGGTTAAAGGAGGAACATTCTCAACAGGAACTTTGGGGAGTTTACTGAAAACTCAAATTGCAATTATCAACTACCAGAATAAATAATTTTTTTTTTTAGGAAAGATATCCTATCCACAGGATAAATATCAGCAAAAAAAGCTTGGTAAGAACGCAAACCTTTTCAGGACATAGCTAGTTCTCAAAACGTGCACAATCGGTGCATGTAAAGGAAAAGTCTTTTTAGGTTTAGCCAGTCTTAATATCCATAGAGGTCAGTTTTGGCTGTGGAGAATCAATGCTTAGGCCAAAGACTAGTGTGCACCACATCAATTAGTGTGTCCATAGTGGTTTGTACTTCTTAAGCTTCAAGGGAGAACGCTCAGCTGCCTCTGCTACAAAATCAATGCCCTCAATATTTTCCTCCATAACATCTTCAAGTAAAGAAGGTTCCACTGAACAGGGTTGGGATAAAAGAGAACGTGTAGCATTTTTAGCCTCTGGAAACCAAAAGGTTTTAGAAGTGCAGAGAGATATCCAAAGAATTCAGACATAGTGGCTGAGAAATTTGCTTTTGTCAGACATGACTGTTGTGTAGCTGAGAGGAAGCCAGAGTTTGATAAAGGCCATGGTGTCATAGTACATTGCTCTGGGAGACAAGAGAACAGCTATCACCCTGAGCGATGTTTTGTGTTTCTATTAGGCTGTCTGCGGAACGCATGCTATTAGGCCCTTTTGCCTCTTCTTTCTTCCCGTGATCCACTATGGCTAGAAAGGGGACCCCCAGTGGAGTACTTATGGTTCAGGAGTGTGGAATAGATGAGATTTTTCATGTCCTGAAAAGGAGCCAATATAAGCCAGACGCTAACCTAGTACCTGTGTCTCTATGGAAGATGGCCGCAGGAATGCAGCACTGTATTGTGTGCAATCTTGGTGAAACAGGTGTGTGGGAACACGTCATCTGGGAGGCTTGTGGCAGTTACCTCATCCTTCTGAAACCAAGTCCAGATAGAAGTGGAAAAAAAAATATGCTAAAATCATTTTTTTTTTTATTTGTTGAGAAGCGTCTGAGGCAAAATAGCAACGGGTGCTAATAAAGTGAACACCCCCCAAAATCCTCTGCTTACTAAACCACAGTTGTTTTAAGGCAAGAACTGGATTCTATATACAGGGAAACCCTGTCTTACCCTATCCATGGATGCTGGATCGGTAAAGATCCATGCTTTGTTCGCCGTGTTAGGCATACTGCAAATTACAATGCACATTGCATTTCTAACACCATTCTATCGGAACCAGCATTAATGTTTTCAGCAATTTGAGATACAGTAGCTCTTCTATTCGATTGGAATACACAATCCAGTCTTCGCTCCCCTTATGCATCAATGAAACTTTGCCTCGCATGACTGTCACGGGTTCATCAATTTCCTTCCTTGGACCATTTTTTGGTCGGTCCTGACCACTGCAGACTGGGAATATCTCACAAGAGCTGCAGGATGTCTTCAACTTACAAGTCGACCTCAATGCACTGTTTAATTGGGCAGCTATGTGGCAAATGAGGTTTAATGTTGATAAATGTAAGGTTATGCACTTGGGGGGCTAAGAATATTTATACATCATACATACTAGGGGGGGTACAACTGGGGGAATCAATGGTGGAGAAGGATCTGGGGGTTCTGGTAGATCACAAGCTTAATAATGGCATGCAATGCCAAGCTGCAGCTTCAAAAGCGAGCAAAATCCTCTCTTGTATTAAAAGAGGTATAGACTCCAGAGAGAGAGATATCATATTACCCCGGTACAAATCATTAGTAAGACCTCATCTGGAATATGCAGTTCAGTTTTGGGCACCAATTCACTAAAAGAACATTGGGGAACTGGAGAAAGTACAGAGAAGGGCAACCAAACTGATACGAGGCATGGAGGAGCTCAGCTATGAGGAAAGATTAGAGGAACTGAATTTATTTTCTCTTGAGAAGAGGAGATTAAGGGGGGATATGATCAACATGTATAAATACATCAGTGGTTCATATAGTGAACTCGGTGTAGAGCTATTCACCCTGAGGTCATCACAGAGGACAAGGGGGCACTCTTTACGTCTGGAGGAAAAGAAATGTAATCTCCAAACATGGAAAGGTTTCTTCACATTGAGAGCTGTGAAAATGTGGACTAGACTCCCTCAAGAGTTGGTTCTGGCCAGCTCAGTGGATTGCTTCAAAAAAGTCCTGGATTATTTCTTAGATACACAGAATATAACTGGATACTAACATTTATAGGTAAGGTTGATCCAGGGAGTATCTGATTGCCTCTCTGGGGGATCAGGAAGGAATTTTTTTCCCAGCAGGAGCAAATTGGATCATGCTTTGCTGGGTTTTTTTTTGCCTTCCTCTGGATCAACTGTGGGTATAGGATTATAACTTTTTGTTTTCTATGGTTGAACTGGATGGACTTTTGTCTTTTTTCAGCCAGACTAACTACGTAATTTTTCAAGATGATGTGACTCAGTCGTCTAGGCCATTACAATTTGGTCCTTGTCAAAGTGGCTCAAATTCTTACACTTAACTATTTTTTCTACTTTCAATCCATCGCCTTTAGGTACAACATGTTGATTTGCAGCCTAATATATTTCACACACTTTCAGGTGCCATTGTCATGAGATAATCAAGGTTTACCTGTCACTGTTTATAATGTTATGGCTGATCAGTGTATGTTTAGGCAGATTATTTAGCAATTCAGCACTGCATCCAAAATAATCATTTTAGAATCAGAAAGGGTTCTTTGGAGAATAAGGCTGCCAAGTCATACATTTTCCTCAAAGAGGGTGAGAGCAGAAAAATAAAAGTGTCTAACGGGCCCAAACAGCAGTTTCTGAATCACAGACAAAAACAGACTTAGATCTCATGGAATCGCTGGGGAAAGGACAAGTACAATGGTCTGTTTGCTTTCTCCTGAAACACTCAAGAAAACAAAAAAACAGAACACCACAGACACACACACGCAAACAGTTGGGCATATTCGCTTTAACTCACTTAGATCTGAAGAAATCTGTGAGACTGGTGTAAAGACCGCTCTTTGCAGATCAGCTCTGGTCTTCTTTTGCTGAAAGAGAACATCATATGTACAGTAGGTGATATCATGTATATGATTGTTCAATGCATACATCAAGGTGAGTCCACTTGTGATATTCAGATATTTTGGACAGCCAAAAAGGAGTCTGCTGCGATGGCTGATTTGTAAACACTGGTAGAAGAAAAGGATTGCTTTAAAAAGCAAATCCATATACTGATTAAGCCACCTAAAAGAATGTTCACTAAAATTATTTTTACTGAAGTTTCATAATCATACTATTTAAGGGACCCGGATTTGACTTGGTGGAGCTGGGGGGGGGGGGGGGGATACTAGCAACTAGAAATACAGAAGAGTGACAGCAAAAAGACAAAGTGGTCTGGAGTCCACCCTTTCCCCCCTCAACCTTTGTGTCTAGGCATAGATCTCTGTTTGTCCTGTACATGTTTAAATTTACTTATGTTAACCAACTCACTTGCTCGGCAAAAAAAGTCAGTTTCAAGCTTCAACTATTCTTTTAATAAAAGGTCTCTACAAGTGGATCCAGTATTCTAAAAAAAAACAGAGGTCTAACTAGAGATCGCTATAAAGGAAATCAGAAGCTTCTTTCCACCGTTGGTGATCCCTCTAGAACCTTTTTTTTTGCTTTCCCAGACTGCCATGCTACACTACAGGGATCAAGCTAGCATGGCCGACACCATATTTATTGTGCAGACAGCAAATTACAAGACAGCATTTAAACAATTCCATCTAGATTCAACAATTTATTTCTTTCCTTTAGTTTCCCTAAATCAGATTTAAATGACACTGGAAAGAAAAAATTTGTACCTTAGTATCTGTGCTGGTTGTCAAGGCACTGATGGTATTGAGACACTGATCACATCTGTTTACCAGTTCATTGTACTGCTCCATTATGCTTTTATCAGTTGTAATCTGAAGTCCTAAGAAGAGAAGGTCACACATAATGGCTAAGTTTAGTAAACATTTTTTAAACTCAGCACAAGGGACAGTACTGTCAAAGCAAAGTGTCCCTTGTACTAATGGCTGCACTTAGTTTACAGCAGCTGTCAGTATCTGCAAAGTGAAAGGGTCTCTAATGTAAATGTAAACATTGTACAAACACTTTCCTTGTACAGTTTGGTAAAAGGTATGTGAAAAAAAAAAAAAAAAAAAAAAAAACACAGGCCAGCTAGATATGCTCACAGTACATGCAAGCATTACATAAAACCAACATTAGGGCATTTATGAGCTTGTATTCCTCCCAAAGGAAGGCAGAAGCATTGCATGCTACAACTCCCCTACAAGAACATAGAGATGGAAGAATGTTGTACTGGCTCAAATGTCAGTAATCTCTGGAGTCTTCAGAATGCATCTGGGTGCTGAAAACCATCTGCCTGTATTCTAGTGATACTAAAAGGTTAATTTTGTTTTCTTTTTAACAACAGACATGTCATACCCGCTCTGTGCAATGGAGCCCCGATCCTCTTCTTCTTAGGTCCCCTGCTGGTGCTCCAGACCCCTCCTCTCTGCTGAGTGCCCCATGAGCAAGCTGCATGCCAATGGTTCCCGCTGCTGTGTCTAAGCCAATTAGGAGGGAGAGACCAAGGGGAGCTGCTGCACTCATGCACAGCAATGGCCCATGATCAGACACAGGTAAGGCGGGGGGGGGGGGGGGGGGGGGGGGGAAGGGCTGAAAACTGAAGAATTTTTTTTACCTTGATGAATAGAATGCATGAAGGTAAAAAAAAAAATCAAATCAAAAAACCATCATTGGCCTTTTTCAACCACTTCAACCAGGGCTAGGCGCATGCACGGAGGCTGAAGATGGCGGCCGCACACTAACACCGCTCTGCTTTTCTCTCTTCCTGCTCCTCCAGAGCGAACATTAGCCATAAACAACAGAGAAGCATCGGCACAAATCTCAGCGTCACCCGAGGATCCCAATGGGCAAAATAGGGCGTCAAATGTACCCTCCTTCACCCACCAGGCACCAGCGGCCTTCACACATGGAGAAATTCATCTCCCACGCCGCATCTCCATGATCAACCTCACCAAGCGGCAGTACCAAATGAGACAGTGGGGCACATGGTGGAGGTAACACACCAAACTGCTCTGTCTCCCCCATCCCACACCCCATATCTTATTGTAGATATCTTAGATTACAAGTTACACTTCCTACTGCAGAATATTTCTCATACTAGCTCTACAGCTGTGGGGAAATAGTGCAAGAACTCACGGGGAGATAGCATTGGTGGAAGAACGAACAGATCATCTAGAAACCAAATTTGATGACCTAGTACTATATGTGCAAGTACTAGAAGAATATAATCATACCCTAAAACAACAGGTCTCCCAACTGCAGTCACAGCAAGAAGATTTGGAAAATAGGGAGAGGAGACAATCTACGCATCCGAGGAGGACCTGAATCAATAGGAGAAGATGACCTACAAGATTATTTAAGGGGCCTATTTGTCACCCTGGCTCCTGCAATCTTAGATATAGACTGGCGTATGGATAGAGCTCACCATTCCCTAGCCCCAAAACCACCAATGGGAGTGAGACCAAGGGACATTGTCAGGTTTCACTACTAAGACAGTAAGGAATCCTTACTGAACGCTACACATAATAAGGCCTCCGTCACTTATAAAAGGGGAAAAAATTCAAATTTACAGTGATCTGTCTCCATTGCGCTAAGAGACGCTTGCTCCGTCCAATTACTCATCTTTAAAAGCATCGCATCATCTACAGATGGGGGTTCCCTTTTAAACTGACCGTAACTAAAGATGGAACTCAACATGTCATCAGAGATCTTCAGGAAGGAGAGGCAAGTCTGCGAAACCTGGGTTTACCCCCACTCCCGGATGAAGCCCTAGCACTACCCATATCTAAGCCTAGACCTGCCAGCACTTCTAGCAAGATCTGGACTCCGACAAAATCTAGAAACAAAACACGTTTGCCAATTCCACAACATTCTCCCAACCCGCGAATGTCATCCGTAACTTGAAAAACGTCTGATCTCCCTACAGTTGGTAATCACTAATATATGCAGACATATATGCCCTTTTTTCCCCCCCCCCACTCTTTCATATCCTTAGTAGGATATCCTTGGCATCCTATTGGGATTAGCCCATGACCAATGTGATTTCCTAAAAGGTTAACTTTATTCTTGCCGCTTTTTATTCACTCTGGAAGTGAGGAGGGAAGACAAAGTCCAGAATTCATCCTCCCTATGCCACCCTCAGAAATCTATGGCTATTCTCCGTTACTTAGGCCTTTACCATATTCTGGTTCTTTTTTGGACTCACAGATCCTATTGACTGTTTTTTTTTTTTAATTTTTTCATCATGTATGGAGTTTGTTTCTCTCAGGACAGTGTTCTGTTTTCTATACTATATTTGTACAGCATGATATATCCTTTTCTTTAGCCTGCACGTCAGCTCATTTTGATAAGTAATAAAACATGTCTTTACATTTATATTCATGCAATGTTAAGGGATTGAATACGATGAGGAAGAGGCGATTGGCTATGAGGGAATTTCGTCCCTCTATGGCTGATATTATACTTATTCAAGAAAGCAATTTTAACCAATTCAATACCGGGCAATTTTACACCTTCCTGCCCAGGCCAATTTTCAGGTTTCAGCGCTCTCACACTTTGGGTACAATGTTGTATGACCACGCAATTGTCATTCAAACTGAAATTTTATAATTTTCTTCACACAACTAGAGCTTTCTTTTGGTGGTATTTAATCACTGCTGGGGTTTTTATTTTTTGCTAAATTAACTACTTGCCGACCGCAGATAGCCGAATGACTGCTGCACTGCGGCCGGCCAGTTCTGGGTGGACGTCATATGACGTCCTCCCAGAACGCGCTCGGGGGCGCGCACCCAGCGATCTCCGTGATCGCTGTGTCCTACGGACACAGCTGATCACGTGACGTGGTAAAAGGCCAATCACAGCGGCCTTTTACCACGTGATCAGCCATGTCCAATGACACGCTGATCACCGGGAAATGCAAATGCCGGTTCTCGGCTGCACTTTCCTCACGCTGTCAGATCGTAAGGAAAGTACTGCCAAAAACCGGCAGTTGTCAGAGCGGGGATCGGCACCGATCATCAGGGTCACTGATCATCAGTGCCCTGATGATTGGTTCCCAGCAGTGCCACACAAAAGTTCAGCCCACCTGTGCCTGTGCCCAGCAGTGCGCCCACCTGTGCCACCCACTTGTGCCCACCAGTGCTGCCAGTCAGTGCCACCAGTCAGTGCCCAGCGGTTGTGCCAGTCAGTGCCCAGCAGTGCCACCAGTCAGTGCCCAGCAGTGATGTCAGTCAGTGCCACCTATCAGTGCTGTCTATCAGTACCCATTATCAGTGTCGCCAATCAGTGCCACATATCAGTGCCACCTATCCGTGCCACCTCATTAGTGCTGCCTATCCGTGCCGCCTATCCGTGCCACCTCATTAGTGCTGCCTATCAGTGCCGCCTATCAGTGCTGCCTATCAGTGCTGCCTATCAGTGCTGCCTATCAGTGCTGCCTATCAGTGCCCATCAGTGCTGCCTCATCAACGCACATCAGTGAAGGAGAAAAATTACCTGTTTGAAAGATTTTATAATAGAAACAAAGAAACTTTTTTTTTTTTTTAAATTTTTTTGCACTTTTTTTGCTTATAGCACAAAAAGTAAAGTGCCCAGCAGCGATTAAATGATAAAAATTTCATATGGGTACAATCTTGCATGACTGCGCAATTGTCAATCAAAGTGCGACAGCACTGAAAGCTGAAAATTGGCCTGGTAAATAAGGGGGTATAAGTGCCCGGTAGGCAAGTGGTTAACAAAAAAAGACCAAAAATTTTGAAAAAAAAAACCCAAACACACGTTTTTCTTTGTTTCTGTTATAAAAGTTTGCAAATAAATAATTGTTCTTCATAAATTTAGGCCGAGATGTATTCTGCTACATGTCTTTGGTGAAAATAACCCAAATTAGGATGTATTTTTTAGTTTGTAGGAAAGTTATAGAGTTCACAAACTATGGTATAGATCTGAAAATTGATCAATCCTGAAGTACTGACTGCCAATCTAAATTTCTTGAGGTCCAAGAATGTCAGAACAGTACAGATATCCCCCAAATGACCCCTTTTTTTTTATCCAGAGTAGACAGTCCGATGTACTTCATAAGAGGCATGGCGAGTTTTTTGAAGTTGTATTTTGTCATAATTTTTCGGAAAATGAAAAAAATTTTAAAAATTAGTTTCACTATTTTTTTTTTTTACATATTGTCACCAGTGCAGTACAGCGTCATCATAAAACTGGCATGGCGGTGATCAGGGACACTGACTGGTGACAGTATGAAAAAAAAAAAATATATATATTTTTTTATTAAATTTTTCATAAGATTTGTTTTTCATATTTCACTATGACCAAAGTAGTAGAATGTTACCATAGTAACATTGTACTACTTTGGGGAAGTGATCAGTATTTTTTTTTTTTTTTACACAATTTGCTTATAGCAAAGAATTACTTTGCTATAAGCAAGCATTTACCTGAATGACATCGATTCATTCAGGTGTTTTTTTTTTTTTTTTTTTTTGTGCTTAGCTGTGATTTGACCACAGCTAATCACATGACATGTGCATGTGATTAGCTGTGACCATTCACAGCTAGACACTAGTATACAATGGATGGCATGAATGAAGCCATGCATTGTATACAAATGTCATGTGACCTGCTGTGATTGGTCACAGCAGGTCATATGGTACCGGCAACGGGGCCGATACTCAGATCTGTAATCGGCTGTGTCCGAGGTACACGACCGGTGACAGATCGCGCCGTTGTGCGGCTCTGCAGGAGTGCAATCTGCGCATGTGCGGGAGGACGGAACGCTGATGACATTTGCCAGCCGCCATTCGGCCATAGGGCGGGCGGCAAATGGTTAAAAAAGGAACCTCGTTCAATTTTGCTCTCAAATACTACCCCACAGTCTATTCTGTTACAAACTGCACCGGCAAAGCAGGTGTAGCTATCCTTATAAAGAAACATTGCCCTATCCGAGTGCTTTCATCCACACTAGATGCCCAAGGTAGATTTATACTACTGAACTGTCAATACAGCAAAACCCATATTACGATTATGAATGTTGATGCCCCAAATTCTAATCAGATAGAATTTCTCAGAGATTCTATTTCTCCTTTGCGGTCGACATCTCATCCTTTTACGATTATAGGGGGTGATTTCAACTTAACTATATCTCCTACTAGAGATCAGAGATCCCTTCTGGGCCATCTACCTTCCAAGCATGTTCTAAGCAATCCGCTTCTTTTCATCAATGGATCAGGGGGCACAAATTGTTTGATATTTGGCAAGTAAACCACCCAAATGCCAGGCAATTTTCGTTCTTTTCCTCTGTACACAACACATTTATACCAGATTGGATTAATTTATGATATCTTCTCCACTGCTTACACAGAAGGTAAATACTGCTATTGTCATTAGTTCCTGGTCTGATCATTCTTTTTTGACTTTAGATTTACTTATAAATCAACCAAACCCCCGCATATGTCATTGGCGTCTGAATGACACTTTTTTTGTGACGCAGACATCAACGGCACTGCGTCAATTCTTTGAACTTAATGCAGGTTCTGTACCTAAACCCTCAACTTTGTGGGAAGCCCATAAAGCATTCATTAGAGGTCGCTTCATTGCAGAAAGCTCCCGTTTTAAGAAAAATTTGGTCAAACTGAAACTGGATCTCATGCAGCATCTATCCCAGGCAGAAAAAAAATCTTGTAGAATCTCCATCCACCTCTAAACTAAGGATAGTAATACACCTTAAGAATCAACTTAAAATACTAGAAGCAAATTCTGCAGCAAAGACCTTGCTGTGGATGAAACAAAAATTCTATCAGTATGCCAATAAACCACACAGATTATTAGTCAACAAACTACGGGCAAAATCATCTAGTACCGTCCCTGATTTCCTATTTCAAACAGATGGCACCCCCACATACTGCTCTCAAGGGATTGCCAAGGTTTTTGGTGATTTCTATAGCAGGCTTTATAACGGTCTGCCCCCAGACTTACACCCAGTGTTTAATAAGGAATCGTTTGACGATTTCATGTCCTCTCTTCACCTTCCTAAACTTAAGCAAGAAGATAGGCTTAATTTAAATGCCCCTGTCACCATGGAGGAATTATGCAAGGTTGTAAAAGATCTTCCAATGCAAAAAACACCTGGTCCTGATGCTTTATCTTATGCTTACTACAAGCATTTTATTGCGGAATTAAGCCCTGCATTATTGGATTTATACTCCTCTCTGATGAAAGGGTTAATACCTCACCCACACTTCCAGCACTCTTACATCAGTCATCCCCAAACCAGGTAAGAACCCAGCCCCCTGGTCAATTATAAACCCATAGCCCTATTTAATACAGATTATAAAATGTTCACTCGTGAATCGTTTAGCTCCCATACTGCCTAAACTCATACATAAAGATCAAGTGGGATTTATTCTAGCTAGACAGGCGGTGACAAACAAGATGAACGGTCAATTTGACATACTTAACACCTCACACTCTCCTGCTTCGCTGTTAAGTCTGGATGCTCAAAAAGACTGACAGGCTAGGGTGGCCCCATATGTTTGAGTTGAGTTGTTACAACATATAGGCATACAAGGCTCTTTTTTGTAAAGCGGTTACAGCACTATATTCATCACGCACTGCACAAATCAAACTCCCTTACAACATGTCTGACACTTTCCCAATGTTTAACGGTGCTAGACAGGGCTGTCCGTTATCTCCACTTTTTTTTTTGTGTTCTGCCTTGAACCTTTAGCTATGGCGATTAGAATGCACTCAGATGTAACAGGGGTAAATGTTAGACAGAAGGAATATAAACTCTCATTGTTTGCAGATGATGTCCTACTAACGATCACTAAACCTCACCTCTCTTTACCTGTTCTACATAAACTTTTACAAGCCTTCGGTGACCTCTCTGGTTACAAAATAAATACTTCAAAGACAGACGCTTTACCTCTTAACATCCCAGCCCATGATCTTCAACTCTTACAACAAAATTACCCATATCACTGGTGTTCCGACTCTATTAAATATCTGGGTGCTCATATAACCTCAAAATACTCACTATTATATGAAGCCAACTTCCCTCCCTTGTTTAAAAAAAAAATATGCTCTCCTGAATCAATGGGATAAATGTGATATTTCTCTTTTAGACAGGATAAATGTGTTAACGATGTCAATTCTACCGAAGCTACTCTATCTCTTTGAGACACTTCCAGTCGCAGTCCCACAATATCAGCTGCAATCCCTGCAATGTCTATTTCTCAGATTCATATGGCACACTAAAGAACCCAGGATAGCAAAAACGGTACTTTTATCCCTGAAAAATAGAGGTTGTCTGGGGGCCCCGGACATAATTAAATATTATTTGGCAACTCACTTAAGACAAACAATAACCTGGTTTTCCCAGACTCCCTATAGCAGATGGTCGGAGTTAGAACTGAACCATTTATATCCCATTCATACCTGCTTAACATATGAGATTTTATACAGGTCAACCATATCTTATTATCCACCTGCTCTCCTCTGATAAATATATTATATAACCCAAAGATCCCTAACAGTCTGTCCTACACTCTAATGCACTCATTGGCAATTAACGGGATATTCCAGCTTCGTCATTTAATCAATCCAGTCACTCGTAAGATTAGATCGTTTGAGGAAATCAGTGTGGAAACCATCCATACCTTTACAAGCTCGTTATACTTACCTCCAATTCCGTAATTTTTTCCATGCCGTGAGCTCCTTCTTTAATATTAGATTTCCCCAAGGACTTTGAAAGAATAGTTACTCAAGGTCCCTGCCAGATACATCTAATATCTTCACTGTACAAATTACTTCAAGATGACAATCTTTTTGGAAGATCATCCCCATCATTATATGATTAACTGGGAGGAGGCCCTTCAATATCCAATATCCTTAAAATGTTGGCAGATGATTTGGGAGGCAGCTACTGAAACCTCCTGATGTGTCACTTATAAAGAGAACATATATAAGATATTGATTCATTGGTACAAAACCTCTGTTGTCTTACATGCTATAAACCCGACTTTGTTGGAGATGTGTGGGTGGGATAGGCTCTTTGGAACATATCTTTTGGATATGCCCTCAGATCCAACATTTCTGGGCTATGGTCAAGTGCGTCTTAGAATGAGTTTTAAATGTAGCTCTCCCACTAGATCCACTTCATTAGCTTTTAGGTCTTCCAATTAAAAGGAAATTCTAAACACTCTAAAAAACTAGGGGTACACATACTGACTGCCGCCAGAAGATTGATACCTAGATTTTGGAAATCAGTGGATATCCCAACGCTAAGCCACTTATTACAATTTATTTCTGAAATTAGAGCTATGGAATACCTTGCAGCTTTAACTGGCGATTACCAGGGTCATTTTACAGCCGCTTGGGAAATATGGGATCGATCTCCTTTTGGTAATACCTCCTTATCTACCCCTGACATTTCATAAATCACTAATCTGATCTACACATATTCCTTTAGCAGGTCTGTGTTATCCTATGCTGTTAATATATAATGTTGTATCATGCTGTCCGTTCATTTTCTTTTATGTTGACTATGTTACATACAACGTCCATACCCATAATGTTGTTGTATTTCTATACCATTATAATAGTAATTTTCCATTAATAAAAATATACAATAATTAAAAAACAAAAAACCATTTAGGCTGTTAGACACAACAACACTGTTCTACATCTTCCCCACCTCATGAAGGCAACCATTTTATTAGTTACAGAGGTAATGAGCATAATCCGTCACCTTCTTTCCTGTCCTGGGTCTTCTCCCGAGTGGGACCAGAGGCTTGGGCCTTTGATTGTTGCTGTTCAGCGTCTTTCTGCTTTTGTTTGGAGGCTTCCTCCTCAGCTTTGCATCTCTCCTGTGCAGCTGCCACCTCCTTCTCAACATCTCTGAGCAGGTCCTTCAACTGTAGCACAGAACGCTCACCAAAAAGGACATCATCCTGAGAAGGGAATTGGCCCTGTATGGCAGAAAAAAAAAACGTTACTCAAAAAAAAAATAATAAGGGAAGTGCATGTGAGGTAAGACATGGTCATAGTGTAAGTGATAAAGCCAAAAGGTTTGTAGACACCTGACCATCCTTTTCTGCAAGGCCAAAAGTATGTGGACAGCCCTTTATATTTTAGTTTAGGCATTTCCAGTTAAGTATGCTGTTAAAGCCACACATTTTTCAGTCCTATCTGCTACCTCCTCTGATGCTCAAACTGCTGCTTTTTAAATTTCTTACCCTCTACTCCCCTCCCCACTGAGTACGTCTTTTATTGAAGGGTATTGCAGAAGGCACACTTCCTATCCATAGCTGCCCAGCCTTCCACTGAGCAACGTGCATTACCTCACTGCTGGAGCGAACAACGTTGGACAAATTTCCACATATCTGATTCCCATGTTTGCTAAAAGAGGACAAGTCTACACGCAACGTCTCTTGTAGCTTCTGGTCTATTTCAATCTTCTGGATGAGCTGTAGAGCTTCCTGCTGCAGCGCACACAACCGGCGCATCCTCTCCCGACCATCTTCTTGACGGGTGCGCTCCAACTCCTGCTGGCGCTGTTGTTCGGCTTCACGCAACTTCAAAGTAAGAAGCTGGATGCATAAAATAGAAAAGTTGTGTTAGCACTGTAATGGAATTTTAGATTTCAGCTTCTTAAAAAAAAAATTATTTGATTATTTTTGGGCAGAGATGGTTTGTGTCAAAAATTTCAACACACTAATATTCAGCACAAATAGCCTGTTTTTTACACTTGCAATGTATGTAAACCTTAAGGCTACTTTCAAACTGAGCTGAGTGCTTTCAGATGTTTTTGTGTAGCCAATAGAAACCTGTGTCCTAAGCACATACAACATAAAAACAAGAATCAACCACGTGGCTGCTGTACACAGAAGTTCTGTACCTTCCTCAATCTGGGGAGCAGTCTAGCTCATCCCACGTCCTCCCAGGCTCTGGTGGTTCTTGCATGGCTCTTTATAATGAGAATCCCTGGGATCAAAGATGCAGGAGTGGCCACAAATGAAAGCAATGAATGTCTCAGCTTCCATGGCTTGCCTCCATTTGATCACAAGATGTGCATTTCTAAGGTGTATCATGATATTAGAAAAGGGAAGCTGCTGTTTGAGCTAAAACCTAGAAAAACTTTCAAAAACTCTCAATTGCTGTTTGGGCATTTTCCATTCAAGTCTATGGGGACAAAAATGCTCAAATATGCCTGAAAAGTACCACATGTACTTTAAGTGACAGGCGTATTGCTGCAGGCGACAAAATGCTCAAATGTGAATAGGGGCAATTGAAATGAATGAGATTTTCCTTGTTGAGCGTCGAGCTGAAAAACGTTCAAGTGTGAACAGGGCCCAAATCTATTTTTTCAGTAGGTTTGGCATCACGCCTCACTGAAAACAGTAAGGAAATTTTTTTTTTTTTGTGAAGCCGTTTCAAACCTGGAGATCCTGCTAACAGCAGCACTTTCTGTTGGAAGCTGACAATGCCAAGCAACAGCCTCACAATTGGTAGCAAGCTGACAACTCTGCTAATCATTGCAAGACAGTGCATTAATGTTGTCATCCTGCAACAGGAAATACACTTATTGGCAGGATCTCCAAGTAAGAAACTTTGCGCACACAGTATTCAATTTCATGTATAGCTCCCAAATAATTAGTCACTTGATGACTCTTAAGGCTCTTTCACTCATGTCAATACCATGTGTTTATGCAGCATTTAATTAATTCAGCAATTTTTAAAGCCTCATTACCGCCTGTCATGAACATTACAATGGTACTGTTCACACAGGAGCAGTAGCATTTTTTGGGGGTTAATAATTAAGCAGCGTGCAGCTTTTGTGAGGCATTGACGCTTGTCAACTACTTCATTGATTTTAACGGCAATGCTCTGTAACTGCACCTTAACAGCACCTAAAGCATTTATGAAGCTGGGTACTGGGGAGAGAGAAAGTGGAGGTTCCTGTATCCCAGAATACACTGGGGAATAATAGAGAATTAGGACAGAGCAGTGTCGCAAATGCGCGCATCTGAGATGGATGCGGTTCAACCATTTTGGTTTCAGACTCCATCTTGCTCAGGGTATCCATTTTCTCCCCTCATTCCTTCCCACTCCCTTCCTGAGAGGCACAGTGACAGATGTGGCTGGTTATGGGTCACTGACAGGCCAAGGCACCTAGTTTGGTGCCTAGCAGTCTGTGGAAGTGTAGCCTCTCTCACCTAGGCCAGGATAACTCAGCTGTCCTAAGAAAATTGGAGACTCACTGTCCCAGAAGCTGTAACAATTCACACCTCGTAAGGACATAAGGCATCTCTCCCAGGAATTGAAAGAATTGTAACCTCATAAAACCTAGCTCAGCGTAGGTGGCAGGATCAAATAACTTCTGGTAAAATCAGTTTTTCCCCTAGGTTTCATATCTTGAAATATGGAAGACTTACATAAAAACCGGGCACCTTGTCAGATGGCCAATGCACAGACGAACATTTTGATGGGTCACTCGTCCACCTCAGATCATCAGGGGAGCCAAAACATAGAACTTGTACACTGTGTAACGTACAATTTCATAATTCATATCTACATGATCCTTAGACTTATCTGCATAATAAAATACCCGCGGAGAGATTGTCGCTTGTGCAGCTGGGAAGTTATATCAATTATGAAAGATGCTGGTTCTAATTTTGGGTTCCGCCTGCCAATCCCTCCCTAAAAACAGAGTATTGGTCAGTTACTCAGAGCCACCCCCCTGCTGGGGGACTTTAAAAAACAGGCTAGCAGGCCTAAAGAAGTAAGTTGAAGACATCTCCTATCTTTCCATTGTAACATATGGAGATCAAATCCTGCTTCTGCAACTTGGATCGGCTGACCCAGGACTTTGGCAAGTAATTTAACTCTTCCCTTTCTCTCTGATATCTCTTTTTCTATAGCTTTTAATTGCAATTTACGACTCCCTGCCTTTAAAGAGACGCTACTGTTTGTTTAACCCTCTGTATAAAAGACCTGTGTTATGACCATTTTATACAAACGATTATATCAACCATTATAGTGTCATAGCTGAAGCCGAGTTTCCTCTTTCTCTGTACCAAAAAGGAGGTGGTGGCAGTGAATGGTTAATTGCGTGATTAACCTGACCCAGTAACAAGCGCATTCAGGCTGCAGGCACAGATTGTAGTCCATTAGCTGGAAAATCGCTGTGCAGGGTGCAGCTGGGTGTGGCATAGTTACGCACATCACATCGCGATTTCCGATTGGCCAGTCCTTCGGTCACGAGTTTGGTGAGAAGGTCTGGGGTCTGAAGCCGCGATCGTGACAAGCAGCTCCAGTCACTTTCTGTTTGTACAGCCGTATGGTAATATAAGTTGCTTCTGTGTGCAAGGAAAAGCATAAACCAGCCAGCAATCCTTCCAGTGTCAGGCAGGAACAGAGGTACTGAGAATTACTGATGGTGAACCAAAATAAAAATTCTGGTGCCGAAACTGAAGATTCAGAATACACTTGGCCAAAAACCGAACTCGAAATAGACAGTTTTTAAAAAAATGTATATATTTTTCAAAAGTAATTTTTTTTGGAAAAAAATACACTTTAAATGTTAAAAAAAAAGCACATTATATACCCCAATGTTTTTGTAAAATATGAAAGATGATGTTATGTCAAGTAAATAGATACCAAACATGTCACGCTTTAAAATGGCACATGTTCGTGGTGGAATGGCATCAAACTACGGTTCTTAATCTCCATGGGGGACAATTTAAAAAATTCTACAGGTTACCAGTGTAAAGTTACAGAGGTCTAGCGCTAGAAATATTGCTCTCGCTCAGACGTTCGCGGCGATACTTTACATGTGTGGTTTGAACACAATTTTCATATATGGCCATGGCCTACATATGCATTCACCACTACATTTGAGCACTTTAAACTTTTTTTTTTTTTTATTACTTTTTTCTTTACAGTGTCCCTTTAAAAAAATGTTTTTATCACTTTTATTCCTATTACAAGGAATGCATACATCCCTTGTGATAGAAATAAGCAGCGACAGGTCCTCTATGGAGAAATATGGGGTCAATAAGACCCCACATCTCTCCTCTACAATATAAAGCATTAGATCAATCAAAGCAAAACAAAACAACAAAAAAAAGGCCTCGTTTCCAAGGCACCGGAACCAGATGGGACATTGCTCCGGTCCTCCAAGGGCATAGAGATGAGTGGAGTCTATTTTTCTTTCACTTATCTCTATGGCCAGCGCCAGGATCGTTCGGTGATTTCTCAACTAAGGCTGAGAACCACCGAGCAGCGGCGCGTGGCGGCAGGAGGGTGGCGTTATTGTCGGCTTATTTTCAGATCTGCCAAAGGCCGATAGGGGTGTTTTCGGCTGAAACATTTCGGCCACTGAAATTTTGGTGCATCCCTAAGAATTACTGTCAGTGGCAAAGCTTTTTGAGTCAACAAAGTGAAGCTGGACCAAGCCGTGCCAAAGAAATCAAAGTGTACGATCCATCTTGCATATAAATTCACAAAACTGTCTGCTATCGCACCACAACCGAACCACAACTCAGAGTAGATCATTTCCTCTACATTACTTCCCCTTTAAGCACTCCCCACTAGAAAAACAACACTTCCATAGGCATTTATCAAGAATTATTGGAACTTTTTGAATGCTTCATAAACACAACGAAAACACATCGTAAAGGTCATACGAGTGTTAATGATCATTGCTTTGTTCTTTATAATCAACACACATGTGAACTAATCCTTAAACATTAGTTTAAAGGAGTTCTATGGTCACGGCACACACTTTCATTTTATAACATCAGCATTGTAAGAGCAATACAACCAATTGTTATTTTTGACAATCCAATACAAATTTACTTGAAAAATCTCCTGTTATGTTGTGAGTTCTGACTGTCTGCTGGCCATCTCTTTTCACAACTGCTGGGATTCCTTGCATGCTTTTCAGCTTTTCTACTTTTACTTTCAAATTCTATGGATGACATATCCCATGGTACTTTGTCTCCAGCAAGCAGTGACTCCTGTACTGACTCCGACTCATGAAACACTTCCTGTGAGCACCTCTGTAGTTCAGAAGGCAGGCTCAGAATTCTGTGACACAGCAGTGCCTACCCACAGAGCATGGTGAATTTGTATCTCAGAATTCAAGGAAGTCAATATTTGGGGATCTTTCTAAAGTTTACAAACATCAAGGTTGCTCAGATTAAGTAGAGTAGGCCAAAAATAAATCGAAATACAATGTGGAAATTATTATACGTTTTCGCATTTTGATTATAGATACAGGTTACCATTTAAACCTAAACCAAACATATTTTTAGAATTTCAAACAGATTTTGATCACAAAATTCACTGAACATACCAAAGGCAAGGTTTAGACATGCATCTAAACATGCTGCTAATCTGAAGAGCAATCCATGTTTGATCAGTATTCAGAGTGGACTGACAGGCAGTGAGGAAGCGATGTGATTCCTCCTCACTGCCTGCTTTAAACATATTTTTGCCAACCAAATGCACAACTACATGCATCACACAGGATTGCAGGATGTTTGTGGCGTTTCCCCATTCACTTGAATGGGTTAAGTTTGGCATG